CTTGGTCTCCTCCAGCTCTAAAAATTATATGCATCTCTGAGTTCCTAGACTTTCAAGCCTTTGATTCTGCAACACCATCTGCTTCTGTGTTTCTATATATTTCATACTACGATTACATCAAAACAACATAAAACACTTTCCATTTCCATGAATTCTTTTCTTGAAACCACTTGACTAAATTTGAAATATGAAAAATGAAACCGAGTCACATCACCAAAGCCACAGAAGTTACTTCCTCAAAGACTGTCTGCATATTTCCCAACAGAGTTAATATCATTGGTTTAATTACCTATTAAAAGAAGATACCCATGAGAATATTTCTGAGGACAATTATGGAAGAATTAAATTTTAGGCTCTCTAACGGTGGTACTAGCCCCTGTGCATGTTTGGGGAGAAAATTAAACACTAGTCCCTAATATATTTGTTATTTATGAATTTTACTAATTATGGAATTTGGAAATATAAAGTAGAGGGGAGAGGAGAAAGAATCTGGTTCAAGTTCCTTTTTGTATTAATGAAATAGCACAGGGCAGTGGAAGGAGCCCTTGGTTCTTTTCTTGGTGAAAATCTATTATGAATCACTTAACCTCTCTTCATCTCAGTGTGCTAATCTTCAAAATTAGTGGATTTGAATCAAATAATATCTCAAATTGCTTCCAGATCTGTGAATTAACCCAAAAGGTATGAAAACCCAGCAAGAAATCGCTTATACAATGCAGTAGCAAGTTTGAAACTTATCTTTATCCTGAAGCAAAGAAGATCAGTTCTTAGGTTGAAGGTCACAGCCCCAAATGAATTAAGAGCTAAAATGTAAGCCTATTTTTTACTAAGGCTACAGTAGCAATGAAAGGTTTAAAATGCGAAGTCTAACACAGACTGAGTGACTGATTCCTGAGCTCCACCACTGAAGCCACACAGCGGTTTTAATGTATTTTCTCCACCGGCAGTGCAAAGATGAAGAGGAAAGCAAGCAGAAAAGAAATCAGGACACTGAGGTCAGCACGGAGGCTGATCCTAAAAAATTTCAGAGACGGATTAGAGAGAGGAAAACAGAAAATGTAAGACTCAGTCAGTTCATAAAAGTATTACCTGTGTTGTAGGGTTTTCTTATAATGAGATCGTCTTCTAGGACACGGTAACCAACTCTGTGTTCTCTCTGACCATTCTCAACAATTGTTCAACGTTCAAATGCAGATCGTTCTGCCTGTCAGTATTCATTTTTCCAAACTAAATAATATTAATCTTTGGCCTGTCATCATACATTCCGTTCTACTGTGAAACTCAGTGTTCAAGTTTTCCTTTCTAACCATTTTCTCTCCACCAAGGTTAGGTAGCCCATTTCCAGAGTCTATTTTTTCCATGCTTGATATTTACCACCTCCCTATGTACCCAACACCATGCATCCATATGCTAAGAACATGCTAGAATTGAGGCAGGGTGGGTGCCTGGTGGGATGACTGAATCTGAGGAAGTAATTTTCAATCAGTGTTTTAACACCTGAAACAAGTATATTAACCTTAAATAGAATAACCTCGTTTATGGAATTTCAAAAATCTCCCCTTGGAAATGGAGAAATGATTTGAAGAAGTAATCTCTCCACCTCCACCTCTATAGCATATATTTCACAGAAAAAGGAACCGAGAAAGAGTGAGAAGACCTCACTGAATATTTAAATAGCAGGCTCAAGGTTGAGAAGTAACATCAGCGAGAAGAAAGGCAGATGAAATGAAGCCAAAGGGTCGCTGATGTTTGCCTCTGTCCCTAAGGGGAAGATTGCTGATGTAGAGTCCCTCTGGTCTGCCCAAGACCATCTGGCGTGAAGATATAACTCCAAGGTAAGATTCCCTGGGCCAGCAGGCTTATCCAGTGCTGTCATCTGTTTTTATTTTATTTTCCTATTTTTATTTTATTTTATTTTATTTTTTCCCCCAAAGCCCCAGTAGATAGTTGTATGTCATAGCTGCACATCCTTCTAGTTGCTGTATGTGGGACGCGGCCTCAGCATGGCCAGAGAAGTGGTGCATCGGTGCGCGCCCGGGATCCGAACCCGGGCCGCGAGCAGCGGAGCGCGCACACTTAACCGCTAAGCCACGGGGCCGGCCTCCAGTGCTGTCATCTGAATAGACCCTCTAGGCTTACTCCAGATCAGCTTCCCAAGGTTCTTGTGGTCCCCTCCCCCACAGTAGCTCCACATCCCCAAACAGAGGTGGCGGCTTTCTGAAAGCCACTTGTGCCAAAGGTACCACCATAGCAAGGCCTCAAAATAACTCTTAATCTGAGAGCTTCTGCCCCAATAGATGAACATTTAGATTTTTTCAGAAATCCCTGGTGGTACTCTAGAATTCAGTGGGGAGGGTTTGAGGAAGAAAGAAATGTGGCCTGCAGTATTAAAAGGGCATAATGAGGCACTTGCTATAACAAGTTGACCAAAATCATAGGTAAAAAGTTATTGAGCATTTAATACGTGCCATGAAGGGAGCAAAGTGATTTATATATATTATATCTCATTTAGTCCTCATAAAAACTCACTGGGGTGTAGAAGGTGAAAGAGACTCAGAGTTCGAGATCACAGAGCTGATAAGTGGTAAAGGCAGGATTGAAACCCAGTTCTGTGGGATGCCCAAGCTCTGTCACACTAATTTATACTCAAGGACTTTAAAACCATTTTCAAAGATGTCTAAGGATGAGGAAATCTGGTTATGTGCAATAAATCAAAGTTCCTCAAAAACTTTATATGCTATTCAGAACTGCCATTGTTGATTTTGCTCAAGTCTCACTTTATTTTCAGATGCCCTTCTAGAGCTCAGCCACACAATTTTTTTAAAATCTTCCCTATAATTCAGGGACCCTGTTTCTCATATGCATGTGAGGCCACAAAGAGAGCACACACACATACACATACACATACACATACACCACACACACTCCGGACATACAAATACCACACAAACACACACTACACATATAAATACACACAGACCGCAGATACCACACACCATACACACAGAGACCACACACAAATATACCACAGATACACAGATCAAAGACACACACACACACACACACAGCTCCACACACACCCCATGGATACAAACACACACCACAGAGACACACGCAGATACCATATACTCACATACATACACACAAATACACCACAGATATACAGACACACTTACAGATACACACACACACAGATAGACACATAGACTGTAAACAAACAGTATCAGAAATTTTTTATAGGATTTTGTTTCTCCTTGTCTATTCATGCCCCAAAATCTAGCCAGTTTTGACCATATTCATCATCTCATTCACATCTCACCTCCTGCTACTGTTCTCGACTGGAGTCCACCCCAGTCCATCCCAAACAGGGAACACAAGCCCTTTTCCTTCAGTTTCCCAGAGCAACCACCAACACACGACAGTTGTGATTAATGAAGAGAAGGGACACTACACCATGTCAAAGCATACCAAATGGATTAAAATTCAATATTTAGACATTTATCATTTTAAATCCTGTATCATTTCTGCTTCTTGGAATATCTCATTGACCTTTCTCCTCTTCAAGCCTCCTAGCCTCCTGCCATGTTTTTCCTGTGCCCCCCTCTCTGAAGACCATCCTCACTTCTCCTCCCTCTTCTCAACGTCCCAGGACCTTCACAGAGCCTGTTTCTCAGGTTCCCACTCTCATTTGCCATTGCCTATCCATTCCATGTCATTAGACTTCACTTTTTATTCCCAAAGCAGATTACTAAGGTATTTTCCAGAAGAGAATCACTTTTCTACTTTGGAGAAAAATTTTGCAACTCCCTTAGAAGGCAGAATTAACTTAAGGCAGTTGTGGTTTTAATAGCAATTATTTTATTTCTCCTCTCTATGTTATTAGAATGTTTTTGCTTAGTGAAGAAAAAATATCATTAGTAATTCCCATTGCTTTATCCAATCTATCAAAAACCAATCTGTTGATATGACTCTGTTATAATAGCTATTTTCCAAAACATTCTCAGGTTTATATTTTCAATACTGTAGGAACCGTTATCCAAGAAATGTGATAATTTAGATAATCAAATCTCTGATTCATGGAGCATTATCAAAACACTGCACGTGAATTACCAATTTTCAAAGAAGTAAAACACTAGTAGGGTTCACCACCTGCCACAATGGAGGCATGGTGGGAGATGTTGATGGATAAGAACTGTAACCCTTGTAAGCCTCACTTTCTCCTCTGTTTAAACATTTGCCTTTGTGAGGGGAAAAAAGAAATGATTTTTATATAAAGCTCCTGACAGATAAGAAGCATTGGATAAATATCAACTTCTTGACTTCTCTCCCTTTCCCCCCCAAGTAAGAAAGAACTACTACTATGTTCTACAATACACTTTCCTCTTTCATTGATGATTCTGAAGGCAATTCACAATCTTACAGTGCCCTAGTGCTCCCATATGAATATCTGTTCTTACTGTTGGGTGCTGAGTGCTAGAATACTAGATAATAGCATTTACTATATATAAATAGCTCATGAGAGAAATTTAACTATAGCTCCCCATGATTACTAATTTGCAGCCGTTGTTATTTTTGTTATTCAATTTCATCAGCAACATTTGCCCTGACCAAGTCTTAGACAAGTAAAACTGATCCTATATTGCCTTATTCAAGAAGTTGTGCTGATCAAGAAGGATAAGACTTATGGGTAATGTCTCAAGAGAAGATTTTTAGCTACCTAGATTAGTTACTTAACAAAGTCAAAATATCCCAAACTTTATTTCTCTTTCACATTAATTTCATTTCATCTGTAGTATTTCCATTTTTGATGTTCGAATTAATCTGATCTTAATTCCTCATACAAAATAAAAGTATGGACCTTAGAAAGAATATCTGATTTGTATTATTGTAGAAATGTTATGTTTTCCATTTTTTAAATATTGTCATTTTGACTGTTATTACGCAAAAATTTCTTGTAACCTTTTCTTTTGCTTCTTTTTTGTTGTTATTTTCCATTTCTCACTCCACAGGTAATCATGGATCTGATCAACTCTACTGATTACCTGCTCAGTGTCTCTATTTCAGTAAGAAATAGCACTCATTTTCTAGCTCCTGCCTCAAAAATGATTGTTGCCCTTCCTTTGTTCATGTCATTTGTAGTTGGTACCATCACCAATGGTCTCTACCTATGGGTGCTAAAATTCAAGATGAAAAAGACTGTCAATACTCTCTTATTTTTTCATCTTATTCTCTCATATTTTATTTCAATATTGATTATGCCATTCTTAGCCATCTCCTACCTTCAAGACAATCGCTGGAGCTTTGGAAGTGCCATGTGCAAGGCCTTCACTGGCATTTTGTATACAGGAATGTACGCCTCTGTTTTCTTCCTCTCGGCCATCAGTGTTGATCGGTACCTTCTCACTCTTCACCCAGTGTGGTCACAGTTGCACCGAACCCCACGCTGGGCTTCCAGCATCATCCTGGGAGTCTGGATCTCTGCCTCTGCCCTCAGCATGCCCTATGTGGTTTTCAAAGAGACATACGATGACCATAAAGGAACAGTGATCTGCCAAAATAACTATGCTGTGTCTACTAACTGGGAAAGCAAGAAGAAGCAAACATTAGGAAAATGGATTCACGTAGCCTGTTTCATCAGCCACTTCTTGCTGAGCTTCTTTTTGCCTTTCTTCATCATCACCTTCTGTTACCAAAGAGTAGCCAACAAGATGAAAGAGAGGAGCCTGTTTAAATCCAACAAGCCCTTCAAAGTCATGATGACCGCCATTATCTCCTTCTTTGTGTGTTGGATGCCCTATCACGTGTACCAGGGCTTAATTCTCGCCCAGACCCAATCACTGCTTTTACAGTTCGCTCTGATACTTACAGTCATAACCACTTTCTTCAATACTGTCTTCTCTCCCACTCTCTACCTATTTATTGGGGAGAACTTCAAAAAGGTTTTCAAGAAGTCCATTCTTGCCCTGTTTGAGTCAACATTCAGAGAGGATTCTTCAACAGAAAGGACACAAAATCTTAATTCAGAAGCCTACGTTTAAATTCTGGATCCAAGAGCAAACAATGGACTTGTAGTCAATTACCAGACACGTACCCTCTGCTTTTGTGTAATAATATCCCTATACTAGAGAGACATCTAGGCTGTACTATAGTGAGAGCTGGGAATATTAAAAGGGCTGTAAGGAAGCAAGCAGTGGGTGATGTTGCAATTGTGATTATTTTTACTCTTTTTTTTGTTGTCGTAAAATATAACAAAATTTGCTATTTTCAGCACTTTTAAGTGTACATTTTAGTGACATTAGCTACATTCACAGTGCTTTGCAACCATCACCGCTATTTCAAAAATATTTTTAGCATCTCAAAGAGGAAGTCTGTACCCATTAAGCAATAACTTCTCATTTCCCCCTCCCCATAACCCCTCAAAACTTCCAACCTACTTTCCGTCTATATTAATTGGCTATTCTGGCTATTCTATGTAAGTGGAATCATATAATATTTCTCCTTTCATGTCTGGCTAGTTTTACTTAGCATAATGTTTTCAAAGTTCATCCATGTTGTAACGTGTATCTTCATTCTTTTTACGGCTAAATAACATTCCATTGTATGTATATATCACATTTTGTTTATCCATTCTTCTGCTGATGGTCATTTGGGTGGTTGCCACCTTTTGGCTATTGTGAATAATGCTACTATGAACATGTGTACAAGTATCTGTTTGAGTCCTTGTTTTCAATTATTTTGAATTGCTAGGTCGTATGGTAATTCTATGTTTAACTTTTTGAGAAACTGCCAAACTTTTCCACAGTGGCTGCATCATGTTATATTCCCACCAGCAATGTACAAAAGTTCCAATTTCTCCACACCCTCACCAACAAACACTTATTATTTTCCTTTTTTTTTCAATTATAGCCATCCTAGTCAGTGTGAAGTGGTACAAATGTGACTCTTAACCTTTGATTTTTGAGGCTATAGATATATCAATTTCTAAATACCAATAGAATCCATTGATCTGAATTTTCTGTCAAGGAATCTTCTAGCAAATAGACATTTGGACAGAGACCCCTCTTTATTTAGATAGCACCTAAATCATTTAATTGGTATGGACAAAATGTAACATGGAGATGACAAGGCACTCATCTTGTCATCTCCATGTTAAAGTATAAAAAATTTATATTTTAGTGTTTTACGTATAAAGATATCTTAATTGTCTCTTTTCAATATCTATAGATTAAGCTGTCCCAGAAATATGAGACTAAGACTATCATAAATGTTTAAGAATTTGCCCTGTTAATGTCATAGTATATTTAATTTTAGAATAGCAATAACAATGTTAATTTGTCTTCCCCGGTTTTCAAGTTTTGCTTCAAGATTTTGCAATACATTACAGCACCTAAGTTATGTAGGACCACATAGTTATCACTGACCTATTATCTTTCGTTTAGTTAGTTATTTCGTTCTATCGTCAATGGATATCAATCAGTAGATAGTTCTATCTATCTAGTTCAATTGATACAGAATGGAGGTGTTTAGGTCACAACACAGACTCAATCCTTAAATATTCCAGCTAGCTTTGCACAAACATTCCAAGCCACAGGCATATATCTTACTCAGAAATCTCCAAAATGGATGATATTAATTACAAGGGGTTAAAGAAAGGAAGGGAAATTAACCTTCATTACTAACTTTTGATAGAGGGAAAGTAATAGTGGTTCGATGCCCTAGAAATCCTGCTAATTGACTTGGCATCAGTGCCTCCTTGGGCAACTTGGGGCTTGGTCTCTCTCCCTTTGAATATGAGGGACAAAAGCTTTGGGTAGATGAAAACTTTTATTGTTAGCCCTTATTTCAAGCTTTTGGAGCCTGAACAGTTTTCCCAGAGATAGAGGAAGAGGATTGAGGACCGGGCTGTGTGTCTGAGTGTTGCTGCAACAAGAAGGGGCTAGTGCTTCTCCCCTCTCCACACTCTCCCAGCTCCTGACTAGCCCGCTGAAGGTTATGATGCAAAACCTAAGAAAGAAAGTTATTGGATGGAACATATGATTCTTTGAAACAAGAATCATGCTTTGGAAACCTAGCAGCTACAGAGGGAGCCTTGTGTCTCCCTCCTCAGACCTGCTACAATAACAAAGTGCTCTTTCCGGGATCTTTATGTACTTCATTCCATCTCCCTATAGACTCTTCACTCCTCAAGGACAGAAAGATGCCTGTCAATCACACTATTTCTTTTCTATAATATTATCCTCAATTGATATCCAATAAAAGATATTTAATGAAAATTGAATATGGGCACTCAAAATATGTGATTTTTAAAAAAGACTTTGGATGTAAAATAATAGGATTGAACCAGATTTTTATTTAATAAAGAGTTACATCACATTTACCTTGTGTCCAGGCGTGATTCTAAGTGCTTTACAAATAGTAACTTACTTAATCCTACAGCAATTCTATGAAGTAGATCACATTATTATCCCTATTTTACAGACTATGAAACTGAAACACTAGCTCAAGGCCGCACAGTAAGCAGTTGGCAGAGCACGTGTTACACACGCAAGCAGTCTGGTGCGAGAACCCATGCTCTAAACCACTACACTCGCTGCCTGAGGTCACTGCTAGGAGGCAGGGAGGCTGGGCTTCCAGCTCAGATCTCCCTAGTCTGTTTATTTCATCAGAAGTCACTTTCTTCGCTGCAAAAATCAAACAGAAGTGCATAGAAAATGTCAGGATCCAGTACAAAGTGAAAAAAAATGACATTGAACTTGTAATCAGGAGATCTGGTTGGTGGTCTGGATTTGCCTCTAGTTTCGTGTTTAATTTGGGGCAGGTTATCCAAATTTTCTAGGCCTCAGTTTCCTCATTTATAAAATAGGAACATCTCCAAATGAGATTAAGGGTATGAAATTACTTCTAAAATAGAAAACACTATATAAATATAAGATATTATTATGAGGGTTTTTTTTAAAAGAAGTCACTTTAAATTTTAAGAAAATAAAGTATAAACTTAAGAAAATTCTCCCCAAAATTTTTTTTAACTTCCCATAAAATTATTTTAGAAAACCTACTCCTAGGCTGGCCCTGTGGCTTGGTGGTTAAGTGCGCGCGCTGCAATGCTAGTGGCCCGGGTTCGGATCCCGGGTGCACATCGAGGCACCACTTCTCCGTTCATCCTGAGGCCGAGTCCCACATACAGCAACTAGAAGGATGTGCAGCTA